AAAGGAGTCTCACTAAGTCTGATAGGATATTCGGATTCAAACTATGCTGGGTGTAGACTTGATACAAAGAGCACAAGTGGTACTTGTCACCTACTTGGAAGTGCACTTGTCTCATGGCATAGCAAAAAGCAAGCATGTGTTGCTTTAAGTACAACTGAGGCTGAATATATAGCCGCTGGTAGCTGTTGTGCACAAATCCTCTGGATGAAACAATAACTAAAAGATTATGGAACTGAGTTGAAAAAAATTCCTTTAAGATGTGATAACACAAGTGCAATCAATCTAACCAAAAACCCAATCTTACACTCTAGGACAAAACCTATAGAAATAAGACATCATTTTTTAAGGGATCATGTACAAAAGAATGATTGTGTAGTAGAGTTTTTTGAAACAAATAAACAATTACCTCATATATTTATAAAACTTCTACCAAAAGAAAGATTTAATCAATTGAGAATTGAACTTGGAATTATCAATGAGTCTTGTTTGAATTGATTGTGAATGTGCACTTGAGTGTGATTGTTTGAATAAAACTTGATTGATGTGTGTAAAGAACATTGAAATGTGGTGTATAAAAGATTGTTTTTAAGAGATGAAATGGATGAGGAATGGTTAAAAGGTTCAGAGTAACAGAAACAAAATTTCTCTGCAATAATCGATTATTGTAAAATTTAATCGATTATTTTAAGTAACACTAGGCAAATAATCAATTGTTCTGAAAATAATCGATTATCTGGGAAGAAGTAGAATTCCATAAGTCTCTGGAATAATCGATTATTTGGGCAATAATCAATTATCTGGATAACAAGAAAACTTGGAGCACTAGTACAAAAGACCCATTTTACGTCGGGTATTTGAAGCCTTTTACGTCAGAAAAGCATCAAACGTCAATACGGGAGACGTAAAATTTACGTCGGGGGTCAAAAACCGACGTAAATTTACGTCGGACATGCCAAGGTCCGACGTAAAAAAGTCATGAAAATTTAAAAAAAAATGAGTGCAAGCAGAACGGCCAGTTCTCCTTGGAGAACGCCCGTTCTGCTTGGAGAACGGTCTGTTCTCCATGAAGAACGGGCCGTGCTGCTAGCAGAACAGGCCGTTCTCCAAGTAGAACGGCCCGTTCTGCTTGATAGACCCAGGCAGTGGTCACTTCCTTCTGCAGCTTAACAAACACGAAATGCAAGACAAACATTATTACGAAAAATACATCCCAGAAAACACAAACATCGGTTAAGGAGTGGTCCCTACCTCATAGAAAAACAGATGGATGTATGGTTAAGCCATTTCCATCAACACGCGAAGAAGAAACAACGCAACTCCGAAGAAGAAAAACAGAAAAACATGAAGAAGAGGAAGACAACCACGATTTGAGGAGGAGGCAGAGGGATGAGGAAGAATCTACAACGCGCGGGAGAACGTGAAGATGAAGAAGAATGCCATGATTTGAAATCTGTAGTGCGCGCTCTTGATTTAAGGAGTTATTTACGTCGGACCCATCGATGTTCGGCGTAAATTTCCTCCTCTTATTTACGGAACTGCCACCGCGTTTTTACAACGTCGGGTGTGCTAGTTTCCGACGTAAATGAAGAGACGTAGTAGCTCCTTTTTCCACTAGTGGAGCCCTTGTAATAATCGATTATTTGGGCAATAATCGATTATCTGGGCAAGTTAGAGGAAATGACCCTCTGGAATAATCGATTATTCTAAAAATAATCGATTATTTAGTGCATACAGGGTTTTTCAAGAGATTTTACTGATACAAATAATCGATTATTTGTATAGATAATCGATTATTTACGCGACCCTTGGTTTTTCAGACGGTTTTTTAACGGATTTATTCACGCCAACTCCCAACCTCCCACTCTCCTTCATAAGTGACACCTCTCTTCTACCCAATTCGATGTTTAGGGCTTTAATAACACCTAACTCTCTTATTCTACAAATAACACACACATTCTCTCAACTCTCACACAAACCCTAACCCTTTTATCTCACTTTCTTCTTCATCTTCTCTTCTCCAACCAAGAACCCATCTTTAATCACAAAATAACCTTATCTTCCAAGAGAATCAAGAAGCTTGAAGTCAGGGGGAGCAAAAGTCCTCTGCCCATAGGAGCTGAGCAACTGATCTCCAAATGGTTTGCTGACAAAGAAACCCTAGCCCAAGTAAACAAGACTAATTTTAATAAAAAAAATCTATTAGATGAAAACTAAATTAATTTGAAATAATTTTCTAAATTATAATTAAATAAACATATTAATCTTTTTGAAATATCACTCAAATATAAAATAATTGAATCAATAAATAACAATACATATAGTAATCATTGATAAATTCAATATCACTCAAATTACATAAAATTCATAAATCATACAAACATCCCTAACCCCTAATATTCAATCGCATGAGATAATATAATACAACATTGCAAATCATGTAATTCACAGTATCTCACTCATATAGCAACAATAATCTTAGATCAATAATACATACACCAAATTAATTCCATGAATAAACCTAAGAGGCTTAGAGGTTGCCTCACTTCGCACACCTTTGTTATGTGCTCACAAGGTGAGAGAATCTCACACCCTCTCTTACCTCAAATGGCGATCTCCAAGACATATGTATGGTCTTTTCTATTTTGAGGCTACTCCATGTACTTCTTGAGGTTCTCTTCTTGTTTTCCTTTGTATACACTCTTAAAGTTTTAGAAATCTAATGCGTTATGACCTAACCCTTTGTCTATCTATTACTAATTAGACTTTGTGTTGGACTTAAAGGTCCAAACCCAAAAGCTTCCCATAAACCTACAACTTTTCTTTATTTTATTTTATTTTATTTATTTAATACCCTTTACTTTATTATAAGGTCAATTAAATAAATAATTGAGTGAGATGTGGTTTTATAAGGTTGTGTTCATAGAAAAAGAAATTATTTTGCCTTGAGGTGTTATAATAAGTAACAAGTTGTTGACAATTGAAAATGAAAAAATTAGGATTACAATTATCTTATGTTATCTCATTTAATTTATATAATTTGTTTAATTTTATTGTACATTTTTCACCCCTCAATATTTGTTTATGTTTAATTTTATTATTCATCATTGAATTTTGATTTCAAAAATAATAGATTCAAATTTTTTTTGAAAAGGATTGAAAAAAAAATTATAAGCTTATTGCCCCTTTACTTGAATATTGAGGCTATTTGTAGACTTGGATTTCATGCAATGTTTTAAAGAGCCTTACAATGATGTCAAGTGAAAATGATATGTCACCATTTCTATATGGAATTTATATAGAGGAGGATACTCCAAATAATTTCACACACCATGGATGGATAAGATTTCACTAAATATTGTACACCATGTATCTCATATTTGATTAGGGATGTCAAAAAAATTTATACCCGTAGAAATCTATGCATATATAAAATCCACTACAGATAAAAAATGGATATCTATGACAATGGATATGGGTATTTTCTATACCTACATGTTAACAGGACAGTTATGCGTATCATAGTATTTGTACTTGCATGTATTTACTAATATTAAATTGCACAAATACTCACACACACACACAAGTATGTATGTATCTATATATATATATATATATACACACACACACATTAGTAAGTACCCTAATTGTTTAGACTTATCTCTTTTTAGCCATCGATTCGTGACACTTCCCTCAAGTGATCTACGACAACTTTTTTAACTTATATGATTGAACATTTAAATTTCATTTTCTACATCCATTTACTTTTATTAGTATAATTGTGAAGAATATTTGAATTTTATTGTTATAATCTATAAACTCTTGTTTATGTAGATTTTATTTGAATTTTAGTTTTATAATCTTAAAAGAAAACCTTTATCCAGACTTTTATAAACTTTGAAAGAAAAAAATTATTATAGATAACTAAAGTATATGTTTAAAATATTTTGTAAAATATTTTTAAGCTATTTATCCGATAAGGAGGGTAGCATACTACTCGTTCTCACGTTACCCTATTAACATTCCTATATATGATATTTAAAAAATAAGGATAATTCCTAATGTCGAAATATTTGCATCCAATTAAGAAAATTGGCTTAATTCACATGTTAATAAATGATTCTTCCACAAGAATTTTCATCAATTCATACCATTATTTGACTATAGAAAACTCAAAAATCTTGCACAAAAATAAATAAGAAGCACCTATATTTTATCCTTCACTTTTTCACACTATTATTTAAAGTATTCCTATTGGAGCCCCTTATAATTATTACATTAAAACACATTTGTTTAAAAATGTTTTATTATTTTCCATGCACAAGAGATTCTTATTTTTAAAGTTTACAATAACATGCACCCTGCTGACAGATAGGTAATGATGCTCTATGACAGTTAATATTAGGAAGATGGAAAAGACAATCGTTGTTTGTAACACATCGAATTGTTGTTAACCTTGAAGATGAAAGGCCTGCAAAGTTAACAATAAAAAATCACATATAACATAAAAAAGGCAAATACAATTCATATATAACATGTAAAATTTCTATGTTGTATTTTGTGGAATTATATTTACCATTTGATTTTTAGGTTTTGCATTGCCTGTAATTTTGATAAGAAATTAAATATGACTTGTATGTGTTAGGTTTGATTATAAAAGAATAAACTGCATTCACATATTGTTTCTATTTTCTTTGATCTTAAATTTCGTACCTGGCTCTTTCATTCCGTAATAACAAAAACATTTTCGCTTCCCACTATAATCAATACCACATTTTGCTGATGCTCCTCCTTCACAATGCAAAGAAGGAAGGTATTTAATGCAATCATTATCAGTAAAGCATTGATCACCTGCCTCTGTAATTGGTATTCGTGAGGGTGAAATACCTGAAAGATAAGTGTATGATTTTAATATGTATATGAGAGTAAAATAATACAAATAGCATGTAAGATATATAGAAACCAAATACCATGACAAGCTTCTACGGCAAGAAGCACAAATAAAAATGTTATCTTGAATGAGGTCTTTGACATATCTTTGGGTTGCAATCTTAAGATATATAAGAGGATTTAATAGTTATTGGAACAATATTGATATCTAGAGAACAATGAAATGTAAAACTTGATTTTTGTTTAGAAAAATGGTTATTTCTTAGAATCAAATCGATTAATCGAATATTTATAGTCGAGGGTAAACTTCATATTATTTGCATCAAGCATTACATGTCAGTGAGAAACATAAAAGTAATAATGTGTTAGGTGGATGGTCAAAATAGTTTGACTAAATATAATTTTTACTAATTATAATATTTAATGTAAAGTAAAAATATATTAATAGACATTAAATTAATAATCCAGGTTCAATGTTATTACTTATCTCAGTCAAACATGTCTAGAATAGTCTAATATAATATTACAAAAGCAACATTATGTATGAAATAAGTGTCATAAGTTTAAAAAATTTATAAACATTATACTTAATAATATAGGTAACATATTATATGTCATAAATATATTAGACTTCAAATATTATATGCGAAGTGGATGTATTCACTTATATATTAATTTAATAAATGTCATAATACATTATCAACTTTTATGTTTTAAATGCAAACTGTTATTTCGTATGAGAATGTTTAGGTGTGATTCTTATGATAGGATATTGTTAGGGATTCTTATACATATTTATTCTATTTTTATCTATTATATCTATTATTAAATTAAATTTTAATATTTATAAAATAAATGATCAATAATTAAAATAATTTTGTGTCACAATATAAATTATTTACTTTTAATGTAAAATATAATTTAAATATTTTAAAGTATTTATTTATAGAAATTTTAAATCTAAGTTATATATTCAAATATAATTAATTTTTGTGTACGTATCTAATTTATTATAAATTCTAGTTATATATATAAACATCTAGCATGTGAAATATATTTTGAAAAAATGTGTTTTATATTGTGGTTTTGTTTTAATGATGCTTATGTTTGAAAAGAAAATCAGATAGATTATATTTGTATAAAGAGAGGTTTGAAGTGTAGGTAGTTTACAATTCTTTTCAATTTATGCTTATGTTCTTTTCTCTATGCTGGAAGAATCCGACCTATTTTGCATCCATCGTCTAGCATTGATGGACGTAAGGGAGAGTGAATATTCTCTCTCTAGGTGTGAGTTGAATGCTGAGTAGAGAGATTAGCACCTAATATCTTCTCTATTATTATGTGTTTTGAGGGATGAATTCTAATTTTGTCTTGTAATCTATGGATATATGTTTTGTACTCTTCTTATGTGTTTTATTTGTGATAATTAATTTGTATATATGTTGTTCAATTATGTGTTAATTGTTGTATTCGTGAATCTATGAGTGCCTTTGGGTTTTTAGGAATCCTAAGTATAAAAGTAAAGTGAGTTAGTAAGTAACAATAATGTTTTAGATATAAAAGATGCTTTATTGTTGTTTTATATGTGTAGAGTTAGGCTTATTATGTATTTTTACTGATTGAATACCATGATTTGTGCCCTCAGTTGTCTTGTACGATTTTTCATACTTTCTATAGATGAGACGTTTTTTGCATGGTGTCAGGTGCCTTAAAAGGGCCCCAAGCATAGGAGCAATAAAGAGTATAGGTTGTTTTCTATGACTCATACATTGTACGTGGGGTGGTCCACCTTAGGCATGAGAGCTTTAGGGACTGCCTAGTGTAATGTTGCCAGACATTAGTGTAGTCACAATGGGCATGGTCCTTCTAGAGAGCAATCTACTCCTTTTTGAATATAACTATGAGTTTTGAGATACTAATTAATGTAATAACCTTTGTTAATGAAAGATCATGATATGCTAGTTGAGTAACGGCATACGTAACATTCCATTTTTAAATTAAATAATAAATAAATTAGAGTTGTGATACCTAATCGGTGTCATACCCGATCAAATGAAATGTGATTTTTTTAGTACTAGGAAGTGACTCCTAGGTCGTCTCTCAAGGAGCAACAAGCCAATCAGAGGTTCTTGCAGTACAACCAAACACACAAATGGGAGGGAGTTTAGATTCAAACTAAAACGCGTGAACAGTAAGCAAGGGAACAATGTATTCTCTAACTCAGTTACAACACCCATATCATTGGTTCGCAAATTATATTTTACTGATCTAAACCTTAGTTCAGTTTCTAGTAATCACTAAGCGTTATTACCATTGTCGAACGCATACAAATGAAGCATTAGCATACATTCCTATCTCTATTCATGGGATTGAGCAAACCATGAGTAGAGCCATTCAGTCCAGTTGAAAATGAAACCATTAAGCATGGAGACAAACCGTAACAGGTTAACAAGGATTAGAAAACAAAGACACATTAAAATGAATAGACCTTAATGGTGCATTAAATTGAGTTTGAGAGTAATATAATCAGCCTTCCATGAAGATGGAGGATACAACAGAAAATAGAGAAGAGAGGAGAAAGAAAATGAGGAATGCAATACAAAATGTATCAGTCCAACATAAGAAGAAGGAACCGAAAATACTTAAAAATGGGTTGTGTCTCAACTTCGTCTAGAAACCAAAAGAAGGAGTGGCAACAGTATATTCAATGTCCCATCAAGTCTGACCTAAAAGAAAACCTACTTCCCTCTTTGTCCCCCTCCAAATTTTGAATGCATTTGGGTCAAAAGAGATGGCTGGCCTAGTTAGCCCATTTGGCCCATAGAGGTTATTTCTACCATCTACTATTTTTAAAAAATACAAGCCCCAACGTTTCAGTTTAAACCTGATAACTTGACATTCACTCACTAATTTAAGCATAACTTGAGTTCTAGACCTCTTTTTTGAATGATTCCAAAGGAATTGAGAATCTAACATCTAGGGATACAATTCATATGAAGATCACAAAATATAATTCATATATATTAGAAAGTACCCTAATTTTTTAGAATAATCTCTTTTTAGCCATCGTGCACAACACCTTCCTCAAGTGATCTATGACAACTTTTTAAACTTATGTGATACAACATTTAAATTTTAGTTTCTAAATCCACTTATTTTTATTAGTATAATTGTGAAGAATATTTTAATTTTTTAGTGTTATAATATTCAAACTTTATTTATGTAGATTTTATTTGAATTTTAGTTTTATAATCTTAAAAGAAAAACTTTTATGCTGACTTTTTTAACCTTTGAAATGAAAAAAAAATTGTCACAAATAAGTATAATGTATGGTTAAAATATTTTTTAGAATATTTTTAAGCTATTTATCCAACAGGGAAGGTAACGAGGGTCTACTACTCGTACCCATCTTGCCTCGTTGACATCCTTAATAGGATATTAAAAAAATAAGGATGACTCCTAATGTTGAATTATTTGAATCCTGTTAGGAAAATTGGCTTAGAATAATCAACAAATTAAATAAATGGTTATTCCACAAGAATTTTTATCAATTCATACCATTGTTTGACTATAATAAAACTAAAAAATCTTACATAAAAATGAATAAGAGGTACCTTTATTTTATTGTTTACTTTCGTACATGTAAAGCATGAACCATGTATGTTCACACTATTATTTAGAGTATTCCTATTGGAACCCCTTATAATTATCACCTTAAAACACATTTGTTTAAAATGTTTCACTATTTTCCATGAACCAGAGATTCTTAATTTTAATGTTTACAATAACAAACACCATGCTGACATAAAGGAAATGATGCTCCATGACAGTTAATATTAGGAAGATAGGAAAGACAGTCGTTGTTTGTAACACATTGAATTGTTGACCTTGAAGATGAAAGGCCTGAAACGTTAGCAATAAAAAATCACATATAACATAAAGGAGGCAAATACAAAACATATAACATGTAAAACTTCTATGGTGTATTTTGTGGAATTATATTTACAATTCAACTTTTTGATTTTGAACTGCTTGTAGTTTAGATAAGCAATTAAATATGACTTGTATGTGTTGTGTTTGACAATAAAAGAATAAACTGCATTCGCATCTTATCTCTATTTTCTTTGTTATTAACTTTTTGTACCTGGCTCTTTCATTCCGTAATAACAGAAACATTTTCGTTTCCCATTATAATCAATACCACATTTTGCTGATGCTCCTTCACAATTCAAAGAGGGGAGGTATTTAATGCAATCTTCGTCAAAAAAACATTGATCACCTGCCTCTGTAATTGGTTTACGTGAGGGTGAAACACCTGGAAAGATAAGTGTATGATTTTAATATATGTATATAAGAGTAAAATAATACAAATAGCATGCAAGATCTATAGAAAACAAATACCATGACAAGCTTCTATGGCAAGAATGACGAATAAAAAGGTTAGCTTGAATGAAGTCTTTGACATATCTTTGGATTGTAACCTTTAAGATAAGAGAATTTAATACTTATTGGAACAATATTGATATCCAGAGAACAAGATGTAAAACTTGTGTTTTGTTAAGAGAAATGGTTGTTCCTTAGAATCATATCGAATTATCGAATATTTATAGCCAAGGATGAACTTCATATTATTTGCATCAAGCATTACATATTAGTGAGAAACTAAAAAAGCAATAAAGTATTAGGTGGATGGTCAAAATAGTTTGACTAAACATAATTTTTTACTAATTATAATATTTAATGTAGAGAAAAATATATTAACTAACATTAAATTAATAATTCAGGTTCAATGTTATTACTTATCTCAATCAGACATGTTTAGAATAGTCTAATATATATAATATTACAAGCAACATTATATATGAAATATTTAAAGTACTAAATGTCATAAGTTTAAAATTTTTATAAACATTATACTTAACAATATAGGGAACATAATATATCATAAATATATTAGACTTAAAATATTTAATGTGAAGTGCATGTATTTATAAATATATTATATTTAATGAATATCATAATATATTATTAAATTTTACGTATTAAACACGAGAATGTTTTTAAGTGTTATTCTTTGACAAGAGCCTTTTTTAGGTATTCTTATATATTTTTATTCTATTTTTTATTTATCATATTAATGAATTAAATTTAAATATTTTAAAATAAATTATCAATAATTAAAATAATTTTGTATTACCATATAAATTATTTATTTTTAATGTAAAATATATTTTATATGTTTAACATATTTATTTATACAAATTTTAAATCTAATTTATATATTCAAATATAATATTTATTTATATAATTTATTATAATATATGACAAACAGCTAGCATGTGAAATGCACATGCTAAAATTCTAATAAGACAAAAATTTATAATAAACCACATTAAATTATATATTAATAAATATAAGCAGTGTAATAACTTCTCCCCTAAAGGCTGTTTAGTTTGAAATTATTATTTATTATATTTGTTTTCATTTTCGAATTCTTTTAAACATACATATTTGTTTAATTTTTCGATGACCTAATTATTTTTCATAATAGTGTAAAATTCCAAGTTTTGTAAATAAAGTAATAAAATGATTTAATTGATAAAGGGGGTTTTGAGAAATAATGGACATGTTTAATTTAATTATATTGATTTTAATTAATTTTTAATTAAGTGTATTTTAAAAAATTGTGGTTTTAAAGGGAGTTGAATTTTATAAAAGGAGGTTTTAACTATAAGTAGTTTACACTTTTTTTCATTCTATGCTTATGTTGTTCTCCCTATGATGGAAGAATTTGAGGTACTATGCATCCATCGTCTAGCGTTTAAAGAGGTAAAGGATAATGATTACTTTTGCTCTAGGTATGAGTTGAATGTTGAGTAGAGAAATTGGCCTCCAATATGAGGTAAGGGGTACCTTTTTTGTTTGTGGGTCTCCTACCAGACCTTGTCCTAGTTTTTGCGTAGTACCCTTAGTGGGTTTCCTACTAGAATTTTGCTTTTGCAACATTTGTTTGAGATGTGAAATGCTTTTAATTTGATTTTATTAAGCCTAATCATGTTTAAACTGTGCGATTATACTTTTGTTACACTTTCTAATTTTAGTGCATGTTAGGCTCTCGTTTGAGTGACGTCCTTATTCTAGATATGCTTTGTTTATTGCGGGTTAATGGATGAGGCTTAGAGTAAGTATTTAAAGAGAGAGAGATAGAGAGAAAGAGAGAGAAGAAATGAGATAGAGAAAATATATGGCACTAAAAATAATATTTTGATTTACACGTGCCCATTTAATGTAGCTTGAGGGGACAGACATGTCCCGAGTTCGTGATTCATACACAAAGAGAAGAAGGGAGAATTCCCCTTAGACAGGTTCGGTATAATTGAGCCTTCTTTTTTATGCCAATGTTTCAGAAGCTTTTATGCTAAGGAAAATCTCTCAACCTTTCCTCCCTTAAAGATGTGGCTGACTTGTATCTTGAACCTTATCATTTTGGGTTGTCTCGGAAGTCTAGTAGCTTGGTCATTCCTTGAACATCTCTACCCAGCCCTTGCCTTGGCTGGTACCCTTTTGTGCCACTAAGCTTCCATTGCTTGAGACCCTATTAATGTGAGCGATCCCTAGGGTTTCCTCCGCTATATTCATGTAAGAGATGGTGAATGGCATTTTGATAAGTAGTTCTTCCTTAGCTTGAATCTATTGTCGGCCTGCCATCCGCCACGAGCTTGATGCTTGATGCATTCACAACTTTTCCTTGGAGGTGACTATAGGATGATAGTGGAGCTTAGAGTATAACTTTCACGGAGTCTTGATTCTTAGAGGGAATACTTGAGCTGCCTTTCAGTTTTCTACTCGAGTAGACATTACTTTTTACTTCTCTATTTTTTTTCTTTTATCCCTAAGTTTTGCATAGGATGTATCTATCCTATCTGGATTTTTTTTATTTCCTTACCCTAATTTTTGCCTAGAACACCCTCTACATGTTTTCATTCTAGCAGAATTTTAGCAATGCCTCCGATTATAATGTTTCTTCCCCATCTTGGACTTATCTTTAAAAAAATCTATTCATTCCACCTTATGCATTTGAGAAGTTCATCCTCCTCCTCAAGTTCTTTTCCTTTCTTTTTTGGACTTCTCCTTCTCTTTGGAGATTTTTATCTTGTAGCTCATTAGGAGTGTGGATCCATCCATTCCTAGTCATTCCTTCTATCCCGGTGATTTGGATGGGTCCTTTGATGATGAGACTTGGATTTCGTGGACCCATTACATGGCTTTATCTTGTCGTATAGGGAAAGGTTTGGCGTCTTGATAATTAATGGTTTCGACGTTATTTGCCCTTTACCCACTTGGATTGTAACTGGTTTAACATTTAAGCATGCCCTGCTCTAGAGTGTGAGCTCGATTACCAGTGAATTACTCTCCATTATTTTTTACTAACGCACATAGGTTAGTTTCCCTTTTTATTCTTATTTATTTATTTATAAGGAAGGAATAATGCTCTAGATGAGTGCCATGCAGGGAGAATTAAGGACTGATAAATATCAGTCTCATTGATTTTTTTATCAATAAATGCTTAAATAGATTTTGACAGTATTGAGCGAGAATCTAAAGAGATTTTAAGGTGGATGATGTCCATGTGAAACATGCCTTAATGCCAAAGTCTATACTATTTTTTTTTTTTTTTTGTTTTTTTTTTCCTTTTTGTCATAGTGGGTTTTTTGCAAATAATGCATATTAGATTCTAAGAAGTCTTGTTTCAACAAACATATTAAAACAAAGGTCCAACCATAGTATTTTCAAAATCAATTTGGGCCTTTCTTTAAAGCCCAGATACTATCGTATATTAAAATATTCATCTTTCTTAATTGTCTATGCATGACACTACCTAATCTTTCCATAATCTAAGGAAAATAAATGCATGGCAAAGTAATGAGCTAGCCTAAAAATGCATGACATTTTTTTTTGCTTATGGTTTATCATGTTTTTTTTGTTATCTAAGGAGGGATGATGCATGATAAAAATAGTACTATTTTTTATTCATCATTTAAAAAAAACTACCTATATGATGTTAATGGAATGGTGACCTAAGAATGTACAAAGGGGTATAAATTTCTTTATTTATTTTTATTTTTTATTATCCATTTGTTTGTTTTAAAACTCCAATCCACTCTTATTGAAAACAAATAATGTAAACAAACAAATGTAACACACAAATGCTCAAACAACATACACCCACGAGTAGTCATGTTCTAATCCATGGTCTAGGGTCCCTGTCAAGGAAAGTTCTTTGTATAGGAAGGTTCCAATTGTCCTCACTTAGCCTTTAAAGGCTCTCAAGGTGGCCCCATTATAGGGAACCAATACCTCTGTTGTTGTCACACTTAGCAGACTCTAAGGTCTATCGCAATATTTCAGGTTAGAGTAACTGATTATTACCTTGAGTGTGATTTTCGACAAAACATGCAAGCTCAAGGTCATTCTTGGGTTGGTCATACATCAATCACTCCCTATGGTTTACACGCTCATGCCTTTGGGTATAGAGAGAATTGTTGTGTGCAATGTTTTGTTTATAGTTTTTATTTCAAACAAAGTGTGAAATTTAAACAAGTAACAGATATTAAAGCCACACTAAAACAAACAAATAAGTATTTAAAAAAAAAAAAGATAAGTATTTATAAACAATATACAAGATAAAAGATAAATATAAACACACAAGATAAAAGATAAATATAGAAAATTAAGATAAAAAGGAAAATATTTTACAAACAATATGAAAGGTAAATATTTACAAATAAGATAAAAATGATAAATACTTGAATTATTTTTTTATTATGCTAATATTAGTCACTAAACGGGTCTAACCCTCTTTACGCTTCGCCAGTGGAGTCGCAATTTGTCAGAATCCAAAAAATTCCGATCTTGCCCACAAATGGTTTGGACTTCCGTTTGAAAATCTCATCGGTTAAGGAATGCCCAAAAACAAGACTAATCTCTAATCAATGGTTTTTGAAAAGGTTTAAATGAGTCTCCACCGATATTTTACTCAAAACATCGGGAAAAGAAAAGATTTTTGAAATTACAATAATAGCCTTCACATCTACAATTAAGTTCAGGAGTCAATTACATGTAGGCAAGGTGTTACACACCCTACAACGCCCTAAATCGATAACCTATAATGCTATTAGCATAATAATAATAAAAATAATTTAAATATTTTATCCCCTTTTATTATTTAATATTATTTACATTGCAATTATTTATAACATAGGGGTTTAGACCCCAAATGTTTGAAAAGATTATGGTCAACATGGTGATTAGATATTCATGACAATAATACGAATAAAACAATTTAGATAGATAGAGAAAAGAGAAAGAATTGATAAAATACCTCGGAAGCGAGCTTTTATAGAATATTCTTCCAATGTTGGGTTCAAGGCACATTTTGGCATCCCTTCGCTCTACAAAAGACCTCATAACACTCAAGAAATATAAAGGAAAGAGAGATGATATTTTTTAACTAAAACTACTAGAAACAACATAAAGATAACAACTTTTTCAGTCCAACTTC